ATGGACGTGGGCATGGTGCCGCCAGTGGCTCGGGCCCTAGCTACTGCCCACGTTAAAAGCGGTGACTACAAAACAAAGCGATGGTACCAGACATGGCACCTGGGTCATGTTGTATGGAACCAAAGGCTTAAAGCCTGCGTAAGTCTAGTTCCTTAACTTTCAGCCACACCCAATTTGTGTAGGTGTGTTTCTTGAGCTGGCAGCTTGGTGTTGTGCGGAACGGAAGCTAAGGGACCTCCCGCTTTTTGGATCCCGCTTTTCGAGGCGTCCGGATGAAGCCAATCAGGCAAAATTGGTTGTGTCTAGCAGGGCCTCAAGCTGTTTGTTTCTTACGATGGTTGGTGCGCGCGAGGGATGTGAATGTATGTTGCAGGCACCTTACTCTCGTCTCCACAGGACCTTGTTCGGCAAAGGGGCCTTTGGGCAGCTGAGTCAGTCTGTTCGGACGCGGGGATAGAGCACCGCTTGTCCACCAACTGGCCCCTGCAGAATTTTGTTTGCTCATGAGCCCTCAACACTTGGTGCATCAAACTATACAAGTTTGGATTGGACACTTTCTCGTGCCCAGGACCGTAGGACATGTTGGTCAATGAAAAAAATACTGCTCTCAGCTCTCTTGGGGTTGCCAGTGCACCACCCTTGTTTTGGTTTGTCCCTCCTACGGACTGGCGTTATCATAACCTCTTGTTTCTTGCTGCGGCGAGTTGCAATATACAATTGCTGTTTTGCTCAACATCTCTTTGGATTGTGATCTGGCTGGAACACAGCACCATCCCGACTACACGAGACCAGGGCAACGGCGAAATCGGAAGAGCCTGTTTCGGCCAGCGGCCGCACAAGATCTTGGCACATAAGATAAGCATAGGTTCGCTGAGATGTGGCATTGAAGGTCACTCGTCGACATGAATGGAAATCGACTTTTCAAGCCAGGAGTTGAATTGGGATTGGACATGTGATCGGCTATAGGAGTTCGTGTAGAATCATGCCACTTAATGGGGGGCCCTGGACCCGGCCGTGCCACTTGGGCCATTTCAAACTCAGGCGGCCCCTCCCGCGCGGCCTATGCGGCCGCCAGTGTCTGTAGCAGGCCGAAGCGGGCCAAAATGCCTCTGAACGGCCTTGGAAATCCTCGCCTTGAAACCGCGGCGTACCTCAAAAGTAGATTCCGGTCAACCTGATTTTGTTTGGGGTTATGCACAGAAATTGGGCTTTGGGTGATGGGACCAATGAGCAGATCAGCAGGACCTAGGCCTCATCAGGGGGCGCAATGGTCGGCAGGGCCTCTTGAAATCCGGCGAAAGCACTATTCAAAGAACTCCGAAGTTGACACACGTCTCCTGCAGACTAATTTGAGACACCAAAACCACGAGTCCCCCGTTGTCCCCCGTTGTCCCCCTTTGTCCCCCTTTGTCCCCCTTTGTCCCTCTTTAGCCCCTCTCTTTTTCCGTGAACTTGATTGAGGGGGGTCATTCACTGTCAACCAGCCTCTTGGAGTGTGTGGAATTTTGTAATAGTGCCGATGAGTATCTTCAAATTTGGTCGCGTCATGCATAGATTGCCGTCTTCGCCCGTGTTGATGAACAGGCTAAGAGCATTCAGGGGTGAAACAATCACATTTCGGCGTCCGTTTTCTATCAACTCGCATTTTAAGGGGAAGCTTGGGCCCCATATGGCCCGTATGAATATATCTCAACCCCTTGCATTGGTTTGCTCCCTTCGGCGCTAAACGCGGTGTTAAGATTCATGGGCTTTGGGCTCTGGTGTTCATGCCGGCTCAATTGGCCCAGGAGCTGCAGCCCGGCCCTTCCTATTCAAGTCACCTTCGCCAATTTTTGCGCGACGGAATCCATGTCCCCCAACTTTTGGTTCGGAGGTGACCTTCGCGCGGCGGGAAGTGAAACCACGAAGAGGAGCAGACCCGTTTTCGGGCGGTCCCCGGATTTGGGTCACCCCAGCGGTACGTCCGCGCAGGCGCCGCGTTGCAGGCCATGGGCATTCCATGGACTGGACCCATGATGGTTCCGGCCAGGAGGCGTCTCGAATCGGTGTCCCTTTGGCTTCCCTTTGGCTTCCCCGCGGCTTCCTGTAAGACCACCCCCTTTTTGGGCTGCCCTCCAAAAAGCAGACCCATGCAACGTAGCTCACGGCTTCACCCAGTTTCGCGATTTGCGTGATTCAGGTGTTGGTTTTAAAAGGTGGCTTGTCTTAGATGGAGCTACCGGGTTGATGTTTGCTGATGGCAATCTCATGCTTGCTGCGGATGTTTGGTTCGGACCATTTTGAAGATCCCAGTGGACCCAACTCTTGGCAATGTGTTTGCACGTGTTTGGTGTACTGATTCATAAGCATCCCTTTTGTTGTGATGTCCAGAAATTGTAGTCACGACCCCTAACGACCCCAGGCTATAGACTGCACAAATAGGTATCATATGCAAGTGTGTTTGAAATGAGGACCCCCAACAAAATGGTGGTTTTCCTCTTGGTTGCCCTTTTCAACCTACAAAAAAGCGGGTACCCGAAACATACATTATACCGGCATAGACCCCAGATAGCAACAAAAACAACAACAATGTTTGTACACCAGCACCTCCAACATGACCCCCCCGAAGAGCGCCCCAAACAGCACCCGGCCGTCAATCCCGCAAAAAGAGCGCCGTCGCTAGCGGTTAGTAGAAGTTAGATCCCCTATAGCTTTCAGCTATCTGGGAAAAGACAGACCCACATACATGGTTGTTGTTGGGAAACATTTTACATCATTGCTTATTGTGGTTTAGTGGGAAATCTCCACTTAACTGCTGAAATTAATCCCCTTCCAACGTCAACCAAGCATAGCTCAGCACGGCGCTCTTCGCCCGACTTCGGGTCCAGACCGCTGATGGGCGCTGCTGTGAACTCTATCGACCAGCAGCACAAAGACTGGAACTCCGACGATGAGGACTGCGAAGATGCCGGCTGATGCGATGCGGGACATCGACTTGTTTTGAAGTGATACTCGTATTGCAAACGGAACTAAAGGATAAAAGCCTCGGAAGGTTCATTTCTCACCGTTCGGTCGACTCGATCGCCAAGACCAGAACTTGTACGTATTTTGGTAGGTGCTTTGTTCATCAGCAGTTTCGCATCTAGAAAACAAAGCAGTTTTGCTTCTATGCTATACAACTGTGAATTCGACACTTTTGAACATTCCCCTTGCAGCCAGGGGTAGGTATTCCAAACTGTTTGAAGTTGGGCCCCGGAATTGCCAGGTGCCTGAGACTAACCATGTTGGAAACAGCGTGAGGATCTCACTTGAAGGAATTTGTTGATAGGTATCTATGAGGAACAGCCTTTGGTTGCGGATCCTTTACTTGTGGGATCACATTTGTCTATGAAGGGGGGGGCAAGTGTACTCATTTTGACATTGCAGGCATCAACAGCTGCGGTGCCCCAAACATTTTTGCACTTGCCAGAGAAAAAGCGCAGTATCTCCATCGCAAGCGCGACCTCAAACAAGTTGTTTCAGGGTTGATGCTCAAACCCTTTCTCTTTTGGTGCCGTCTTGCAAATCCGGACGTTGGAGGCCGTTTGGAGCTTGCTTTCTCTTGCCCCAGGAAATCGACGAGTTTGGGCGCAAGAAGAGGCCACCGGAAGATCCATTTGTGCCACCATGTGCCAAATAAGAATGGCAAGGTCCTTTTGGCTGACGTTCAATCAAAGCCAAAGAAAACTATTTGTTAAAAGGGGGTCCAACTGGTTTTTGACACGTCCCCATTTGCGATGACACCTCATTGTTCTTTGCCAATTTACTGCTTGCCCGGATTCTAAGCAGATACATATTTTAAGTTCATCAGAGGTGTTTGTAGCGAATGGCTTGAGGTTGTTGGCAAAACAAAAACAACTCAACTGCTCCTTGGTTTGACCACGTTTGGACTTTGGGCCTGTACGGATGAACATTTCGAGCCGTTAAAGGAGCCATGGCCTTGAGGAAGGTCATTGACCCGAAATGTTTGCCCATGTCTTATGGCTTACCGGGGTTCGGTTTTCTTCCCCTCAGACTTCAAGGTGTCATGTTGGGATGGGCTTCGTTGGCATGTGAGTCTTATCGAAAGCCACGGCAGGAGATGTCTCTAGGCCATTTCGATTTGACGGCTTGACATGTTGGCTTCCAGAAACATGCAGGTCACGAAGGCACTGCTGGAGCTGTCCCAAGCTATGCTTAGCAATCCTGTGTCATGCTACTACGGGGTCTAGGAGGTTCCTTAGCAAACCCGTTTTGGGGCAATTTTGCGCATTTTGCCAGACAATGTGCGATTACCCCCTGTCACCGTCCACAATCAGTGCTTGCTTGCTTTCGTTGCCACCGCTCTCAAGTGCTGGTCTTGCATACACCTGCTTGAAGTAGCCGTTGCCCTGGCTTTGGTGCACAGAAACCCTTGCTCTCCAACTAGACATCCAGTTAATGATCTTGAAGACTTGGGCAGTTTCACACAACTTCTTCGCCCATCGGATTTTGTATCAGCCTGACGCTTCAGATTCCTTGCGCCCAGTTCAGGCGGAAAGTGGCGAAGGCTCCGAAGTCAAAGGCCTAGGGCCCAGAGGGCGGGCCGCCTTTCGGACGGGACCTGGGTATGGGTCAAAATGAAACCAGGGGACTCGGACTGCAGGTTTTAGTCCGTCCAGGGCAAGCCATTGACCATGGCAAGCCATTTTGGGGTTACCATATGTTTGACCCACAGCCTGTGTCGAGCCCATTTCAAGCGCGGGCAACAGATGGGTGTGTCAGTTTTTGTTGGGGAAGCCTATTCTATTGGCTTCCATCGGGTTTGCCTCCAAAACCACGAAATAGGGGTGCCCTCGAAAAAACGGCACACCCCGATGTCAGGGATCATGACGGTTCCGCCGACATGTTGCGTACTTTGGCAGTGATCCGCGCGCAAATCGAGCAGACATCTCAGGTGAATCATTCGGGTCTCTTGCCATCTGCATCTCGCCAGCTTGTGGTGGACATCAACCGATGCTGCAGAAAGGACGATATTCTTCCTGCCTTGTGCAATTCGGGACTGGAAGCCCAAGCACAGTGGATGCATCTCGAAAGAGGACACACATCCCACGAGACACTCACCTGCACCCGTCCAAGACCAAACGATTCAGCCGAAACGCTGCCAAAAACCTGGCCACGGGACCACCCGCCCCTGGCTGTTCAGCAGGTCTCGCCGGCGAAGCCGCCGCCCGGCACGGCCTGCGGCCTGCGCTCGCTCCGTTGCCATGGCAGTGCCCAAGCTGGTGGTCTTCGACTTGGATGCATGCTGCTGGTATCCGGAGATGTACATGCTCAGACGAGGCGCCGCTCTGCGTCGGTCGCCGGTTTGCAGGCGGTGTTTTATCCCGGTATTCACAGGGTTTTGGTCCGGAAGAGGTGCAGGAGTTTGGTCCATCCGCAGCAGGGAATATCCTTCCTCCCACGAAAACAAAATGTGGACACACAACATCCTTCAGTAGTTGGGATGTATGAAGCCCGGCGCCGGGAACAACCAACTGCACACAACAGTTTCATCTTGAAGGGACTCGCTGGTGCAAACGTTACCGGGCGGGGCGTCGTTCTAGCTATGCTTCAACCAGCCTTTCCAAGCTCCGGTCTCTTAAAAACATGGCCATATGCATACACTTGCGGAAATAAGGATGGGTGACACCCAGAAAGTCAGGAGAAGGCTGTTGAAGCTTCTTCCCATGGGGATCTTGGTGGTTCCCAGCCGGTTTCCTAGCTTTTTAGTTGGTTTGTAAAAGCTAAACTTATAGCTGGGATCTGAGGACAGTTCAAGGATGGTTCCGGAACTCCGTCTCATTGAGAATCGGTCGTTTGCAGACAAAATTTGGCGCTCGCCGCGCGAAACAAGCCGCAAGCAAAACGTGTGTTCTTTGTTTTCCGAAGTTGAAAACATGGCATGAAGAGTTTTTCCCTGTTTTGGCCAGAGCACTTCTTTTTTTGCCTCCGGTTCCTCCTCTCCTCTGCAAAGATCCTTCACGGTTCGCCCAGAGTCGTGGTGCAGGATCGCCCTTCAGCGCGACTAAGGACAGGGCGATCCGCAAAAAAGCGGTGTGATCAACCAGAGAGTTGTTCCCCCTTGCCCCAGCCTGCAAACCCCTCAAAGTGGTCCGTTTTTGAGGAAGCTGGTCTTGCGGTCGGGCTCCGTGTTGGTGGGAGGGCAACAGGAAGCCACGTAGGAAAGACAAATCCATGTTTGCAAGTAGCTGCCGCGGGTTTGCTGACGGTGTAAGTCTCATGTCCGCTTCGAACTTTTACAATGGCGAGATAGACAGAGAGGTTTTGCGCAAGTGGATGCTCTTGAACCACGCGGGGGTGGTTGCCAGGGGCCACCCTTGAGGACCTCCCTGGCATCTCCACCCCGGGGCAGGCGTACCCCCAAGACGACGATTCCTTTCCCATACATGTTCCGTTGTTCACATGCGAGATTTAAGATGTATACTCACGCTGTTCAAGCAGTTGGTGCAGATCCTGGATAGCAAGGGAGGGGAGGTTGAAGACAGAGTTGGCTCATTTTGTGATTCTTTGGTGGAGTTGATCTCCTCCCTTATGGCAGACAGTTCTTTCCATCGACGCCAGATTGTGGCTGCGCTCGAATCCAAATAGGGTTCCGTAACGTCCCTCTTTGGTGGTTCAAAGGGCCAATTGTTGGACAAATAGGTTTTCATTTGGCGCGGCAGTGATGTTAAAGGAGGATGATGATGAACCAAAATAGTCTTGTCTCATTTGAACAATGTCCGACAAAGGGTTTTTAGAATGCGTGCCCAAAAAGGGCTTACTTTAGTTGGACACATTGGCAACCTAAATCCTGTTGCTTGTTGAAATGGGAGTGTCTTAGAATGATTAGGGGACCGCCCAAAATGGTAGGTGTCCTTTTGGTGCTCTTTAAAGCCAACCAACAAGGGGTTAACAGACACCCAAATGTGAGTCACCTCGATCTCAACGTCGACTCCCAGCCGTACAGAGGACCCCAACGTGCTGAAGACCTCGGGCAACGAGGCGGTGCGTTTGTTGGGCAACGTGCGCCACATCTGGAAGGCGCGCAAAGCACAGCCGTTTCTCATGTTTGGTCTGGCGTCAGTGAGCATCGTCGATAATGAATGGACTTGTTTTTGGGGGCTGGGCATGGTTTTCTTTTTCCAGAAAGAAAGGGTTGCTACACTTTTGGCGTCCCATCCACAAACGAGTTATCTAAGTTGCATGTGTCTTGCCTTCTTTCTGCCAGGGTCAGTGGGAAGTGATTGACCGCTTTTGCTTGAATTTCCCTTTCCTTCCAAAAAACGGGTTTACAGGCAGGGGATACCGGGATGCATTTGAGTTTCCCTTACCTTCCAAAAGAAGGCTGAAATAATTTCAGTTTCCCTCTCCTTCGAGAAAAACAAAAAAAGGTTAAAAGGCGGGCGGGGGGGGATGAACCTTTTGGCAGGAGCTGCATGGATCCAGCATCTTCAGCGGCACCCGCGTGGCAGTGGCGTCCAGGCGTGAGCCGAAGCGGCGAACTGGGAAGGGGATCGATGGAGACTCCATAGTTGGTCTGTTTTCTTTGCTCCTGGACTTACGTTTCGGGAAAACCATGTTAGTTGCAAACAGCCAGTTTGGATCTCTTTCAGTTGCAATCTCATGAAGTGAGTCAGCGTTTCAGGGAAGGTTGCAAGCTTTTTGGCTCAACTCAGGTCAGCTTTGAGCTGGGTCTATCCCCCATGTCTCCTTACCATGCGCCTGAGCCTTTCAAAGCGGCTCATGCCAGAGAGGTCTGGGTGTCCAGCCTTCGGGTGTGTCTCAATCAGGGAATCAGGGGGCCCAGGGTAGGCGAAGTTGCTCCACAAATGCACCCCGAGGACTAAAATGAAACCCATCCACCCGGCTCTTTGCTCTTTTTCCACTCCTGGGTACCCCACTATCTTCCAATCATCCAACAAGATCAACGGGAACACGTGCGTGGCTACCTGGCTCCTTGGTTGCTGTCCCTGAGGGCCACCGGGTTTTCATAAGACACGCCATTCAAGGGCATGGAAAGGTGTGATGAGCCCGCCTGGGGCCGCGAGTGTCTGCAGAAGTTCATGGTTGAGGCGCGCGACCGTCCGACCCGCGAGCGGGTTATCGGTGGGTTTTCGGCGAGTGCGGTGGGCTAGGGTGGGGTGGGGTGGGCTGCGCTGGGCTGGGCTGGGGTGGTGTGGGGTGGGGTGACGTGGGGTGACGTGGGGTGACGTGGGGTGACATAGGGTGACGTGGGGTGGGGGGGGGGGTGGGTGGGACCTCTGTTGGATTTCTTGTTGCATTTTTGTTCGCTTTTGAGATGCGTTGGGTTGGTCTCTTGTAATTGAGAGACAGATTCAGACTTTTGAGGGAGTGGCCTGAGTCAAAGCAGCCGCATTCATCCCAACATCTGAAGGACATAGACCGTTGACCCCACAGAAATCAACCCCAGCTCATTGCTAGGGGGGTGGGGGCCCCGCCAAAAGTGCTCTGATTCCCCACATCCGAGATCCAGGTTGGCACCCAATGAATAAGCTGGGGCTTAATTTTATGTGGGGTCAAATTCAGGAGATGGCAAAGCGACGGCCAGGAAGGCGTGTCCATGTGGGAAGTGGCGGAAAACGGCCACCTCGTTGAGATCTTCAAAAGCAGCAGCTGAGTTGCAGCGGCTCGAATTCGGGCTGCCCGGGACAACAATTCACGGGGAGCCAAGTGACTGGTTGGATCCATGGCGATATTTGGGTCTGTCTTCGGTTAGGGGACCCCGGTTGGTTTAAAGACACCATTGCTTCTGAGATTTGCGACCCAAAAAAACTCTGGCCGGATCAATTCGATGTCGCTCAGATTAATATGTTGGGGGTGTATGGGGCCTTACAAGTGTGTGTGTGTGTTTTGAGGCGGGAGGTCTTCGCCCAATTGGTTTCTCTCAACCAGCCCGCCGGAGGCGGCATGTCGGCTTTCCCGTTGGTCCACGAGCCGCTCGAAGTCCTGGCCCCCAAAAGTGAAGCTGTTTCTCTACTGCTATTGGGTTGGATCTTTAGACTTCAACTTTTTGGGTTACCCTCATATTTCCTGTTCACCAGCAAAAGGTTAAACTTGTTGCTAGGGGATCTACAGCAGTCCCAAGGTTGGTTCTGGGTCGCTGGGTGAGGCGCTCGTGAGTGAGGCAAGCAAGAGCACTTCCGGCGGCTGGCCGCAAAGACCGGCGTGGCCTTTGAGGCGGGGAGGAAATGAAGTGGTTGTGGGTCAAGACCGTTTTGGGATCCCATTTTGGTTGGTAGGTGAATTCACAATTAATTTTAGAACCTATTTTAGTGGGGATTGGGATGTGCACTGTAATTACCGAGGTGGTTCTTGAGGTAGGTGAGGGTAGGTGAGGGGTTGATGAGTTTCTACACAGGACACCATAGGGAGCTTAGCCAGTAACTTGTATCTTGAGTGTGACACCCAACCATATCGACCCCGGGCAAGCAGGTTTGAAGCTCTCAGCGAGGACTCCTGCAGGTGCAAACACATGTGCACACCAGTGGCTGGATGTTTGCCCACTTGTTTTGCTGATTTGATTCTTTCATCTTGCCGCCAGACTTTCGTGAGTAGCGTGTAAGTGGCTAAATACATCTATTTTTTAGGTCTCCTAAGTTGATGCTGGAGTGAAGGGTCCCCCCCCCGGAAAACCATGCGGTCTAGGTGCCAACACGGCTGTACTTCGCCAGGACATGCTCTTCTTCGATGACGATCCCTACAACATCCAGGACGGGATGTGAAGTGACTGGCTTCAGGCTTCGGGCTGGAGTAAAAAAGGCCTCGAGTTGAAGAGCTGAAGGAGTTTGTCTTCGCAGGGCTCCTTAAAACATACTTTTTGCAACCATTTGAAACATGGCTTTTAAAGGGAAACCACCATTTACAAGGCAATGTTCAGGTGTATAGTGTAAGGATCCCTACTTCCAAGAGATCGTTTCTTGTTGGCAAGCTGCTTCGGAGAGCATGTCCATTTCAAGCCGCAGGTCAAAGACTAAGTACGTGGGGCTGTCTACCCAGGGGCGGAGGAATGGTTTTCCGAATCTCTGAACCTATGGCCTATGGACAGTCAATATGTTGGGGATGGCCCAGAATGTTCTTTCCTGACACCGGTTTGTCTTGCGCCTTCGCGCTCTTTGTCAGAATTTTAATAGGCGCAGGAAGTCCCCAACACGGCGGGCAGGCTCTGATGGACAAGCACGCGAGCAAATAGTGGCTATGTCATCACACATCAACAAACAAAGACGCAGACGGAAGGTGTCCAAGCACCAGCTTAAGAACATGTGTTCTGCTTTTGTCACCAGATGTCCCCAACATAACAGTAGAAGCCCAGGATTTCCTTGCTACATGATCCCCAAGAGTCTGCTGATGTCCATGCCGGGGTATATAAAACGGAAAGGCGTATGCAAGAGTATGCACCGCCACACTTGCAGGTATTGCGGTTTTGACGAGTCACCTCGGCTGACCAGTCACCTCGGCAAAGCCTGCTCCGGACACCAGTGGGGCAGAGGTGCTTGGTGTTTCCTTTTGTTTGGCGGGGTTTCCTCTAAGATCATCCAACGGGAATATACATGTTCAAGAAGTCCCCTTTAAACACACCACACCAGAGGTGATGCTGTAGATTCTTGTGGCCCGGTGTGTGCTCAAACTTTCAAACCATTCAAAGGCCAAACTAGTAGGACATCAATAAAGCAGGTGATCCTAACTCAGGGATCAAAACGCTTTAGGCTTTAGGCCAATGGCAAGTGAGAAGTTTGGGGGCACCTTTGGGCCAGGATGTATCCCGCCTGGGCGTGACATGTGTGGAGACTCCGGACGGCGTCACCGCAGAATCCTGGGAAGAAGGCCCGGGGGCGATTCAAAAAGGGGTTTCGCATACTCACTTGCCCAAAGCCGACCTTTTGACCTGTTGGTTTCCCCCTTTTGGTGCATTTTTAGTAAAGGTCCCAAGAGGTTAACCTTTCATTTCTGGGTCCTCTGGGCAACCGAGCATATACGGTCTAAGAGGTGAACGGAAAGCCACTGATTTGGCGATGCCAAAGGCATTTCTCCATGTCCCGAGAAAGACCGGTGTGTGTTTGAGTTGGAGTTTCTCCTGACCAGTGGATGACAAAGAGTTTTGACAAGCCAATAAGATTGTCTTCCAAAACTGGTGTGATGCTGGAGATTTCTCACTTGCAACAGGCAAAATCTGAAGGGGGCAATGTCTGGCTTGAGGTTAGTCAGATTGACCAGTTCCTTCACAACTAGACCGAACTTCAAGTCTGGGGTTCCGAGATGCTGGAGAACTCAAATCCCTGCAAAAAACGGAGTGGCTTCCCAAAACCAAAACTTAGTGATCCAGTCATGTTGGAAAAGTGAAGAAGAGACCTCCAAGCCATCAGATTCGCATGGCTTCCTTGTGGGGCCCAGCTCTTCCAGCAGCTTAGGTCCGGATGCGGAAGTTCACCTTTTCCACCTTCATGTCCTGAGACATGTTCTCCAGATAGCTCATGATTTGGTGAGTACCCCTCTGGGCAAGTGCAATGTTGGTTGGGGGGTTTCGGGGGTTGGGGATGTTGGGGGTTGGTTGGGAACAATGCCAACCAATATATCCTCGCGAGATAAACGTCAAGCACGAGACTCCAAATGAAAAGCAGATCAAGTGGGACTCCTTTGAACATGTAAGATTGTGTCCTAAGAGATCTTGAGGCCCTGCCATCAGAACAAAGGCATTTTTGAGAAATATAGTTGACGGATACTTTTGGCGTGGGAAGCACTTGCAATGTTCCAGGATTTTCTAAGTTGTAGCCAGTTCAATAGGAATACCGCCAATGGTCCCGTAGCTTGAAGCACAGGGCTTGTTCACAAGGTATCACTGTTGGCCCCGAGTTGTTCATAGCACCACAAAGGTCCGGAAAATCAAGCAGACGTCACAAAGAGGCTTGCGCGCACACCTATGATGAAACGATTTCTCTTTGGGCGCCCTTACTTTTGAGTCGGTGAGTGTGGGAGCAAAGATCAATGCGCGTTTGCCTCAATTTCTGAGTCTGTCAGCTCAGCCCAGCATGGGCTTTGAAAGCGTGCTTCCTGCAAAAACACCCCGCCCTGCTTTTAAATGGGAACGCCCCTACCAGCGCCATTCGTCAGGTCTGAGGCTTCATGAGAAGCGGTCCCAGGCGCAAAGCCTCCTCGGGTGGGTCCCGAGCGCTGGTTTTAGCACCTAGCCAATGACCCATGGTGGGTTACACTATTTGGCTCCTTCATTTGTTTCTTTGAGCAAAATGCTCTGTTTTCTTTGGGGGGAGGGGGTATTATTGGGTGTCTCGTCCCTGTGACACCAGAGACATGATTGCCAGCCGGAGCAGTGCGGATCCACCGGTTTTGGGGAAATCTTGAGAGGCGTCACTTTTGTGTGCACCCGTTTTGGTCCCGCGGTTCTTAACAGGAGACAGGTTACCTTTTGTTTGTAGCTTTTCAATTCAAGGCGTTTAACGCAGCGAGCTATAGCTTTAGCTGCATAGTGATGGTCCATCCGGAGTTCTCTCATGATGAGGTTTCAACCCGCGGTCGGAGCCGCTTTACTCTGTGCTGGCATTGCGTCATTGATCCATTTTGATGGCGTGTTTTTGTTCGCTTGTGTTCTTCTTTGCTTCTTTTGCCAATCTTCCCACGTGTTTGTTTCGCAAGCTGAACGTGGGCAGGAGAGCGACTAGAATCAGTGTTTGTCTTCCTTCATATCGGTTTGCAGTATTCCCGTCCCTTGCCATTTAGGGGATGCGGTTCATGATGTTAGATTCAGCACTGTGCGCTCACGCACTGTTTGGCCTCTTTGAACTGTTGCCGAAGCTTGGGTTGGGAGCAAGGCCTTAATTGACATGTTTCCCATCGAATCTTGCATGTCCCTCTCAACATGCTTAGCTAGTTTCCTTTTCCGTGCAACTGTACAAGGAGGCTCTGGTGCGTTTCTACTCCTTACTTTGCAAACTTCTCCAGGCTCCAAACTCGTCAATGAAAGAAACCAGCAATAGGAACTTCTACAGGAAATCCTTCGCCAAAAGAACTGAAATTAGTTTCGCTGGTTTCTTAGTGTCCACTTCCATTTGCGTCAGAATATGTTTGTTCCCCCCCTGTTGGTTTTAAAGGGAACCGATTGTACTGCTGCAAATAGGTTCTCATATTTGCCTGAGGGCGAGAAAGCAAATGAGCCACAATCAAAACCCGGGTAAGTGAAGGTTAGTAAGGGACGATCCCAGCCATAAATAGCTGCGGCCGCCTTCTTGCTTGACTGCTATTGGGTTGGATCTTTAGACTTTAACTTTTGGGGAAGTCAAGGGGTTTTCCACTAAACCCCAAACAAGTTAAACTTTTTGCAGGAGGGTCAACAGCAACCAAGCTTAGTTCTGTACATGGTTCTGGGTCGACCTTTTTTGTACCGGGTTTTGTTTGAGACTCAAATGGAAGTCCAGGTAAACCTGTTTGGCGCGTGGAGACAGGCTGGCAGCCCCTGACCTACGGCACGTGAGTCCTGGCATGAGCGAGGAGCGTGTGGATATACCAGGCGAGCGGAAAGCCTCATGGGCTAGTTTGCTTTCGCTTGTTTTTTGGTTTTCCATGGTATGATTGATTCAGTTTGGCTCGGAAACGTATTGTGAGTGAGACTTGTAGGATGTTACCTGCAACATTTATGGAGTGAATGTGGTTTGTTGTTGCGCCCTGCCTCGCCCAAGGTCAGGTGCTACCATTTCCGGTCCTGTGGCATACGACTGGCACATGTGCAGAGATGCCATTCCATTGTCCCAATGGTTTCACCCCATCGCCTTGGGTCCGAAAAGTGCGGCGTCAACGGCTGCCACTGCGTTGCAATCCTCGCGCCTCGGAGGGCTTGCAGCAAGCTCTTTCGGCTGGGACTTCAACTCGAGATGCGGGTTGTTTGGCATGCCGCATTTTCAGGGCCCAATCCCCAGGAGCATTTGGCTCCCTTGTGATGTGTTCAGCATTGCTTGTGTCCATCCAAGCTCTTGTCCTGGTGTGAGATCAGGAGCAGCACACTCCCTGGCAAGTTGGGCACCGTCGTTTGGTGCAGGAAGCATGTGGATCCCTTGATGAGTTAGAGTTCGGATCTGAACACGTACATTTGCAGCATTCATCATGCCTTTGTGTGGGCATGTGTAAGACTGTTAAGACTCCTGTTGGCTGTACGCGTGGGTGTGCGGAATCTCGTTTTGGCTCCTCTGGAACGGTGCGCTTCTCATGTTGTTTGATTGTTGTGGCTTGTCAGGGAGGCCTGCCAGGATTCGATTTCAAGCATCAAGGTCAATATCCCGGGGGCTTTGCAGATGACCCAACACTGATAGGAACAATGATTGCGCTTCCGTTAGCTTCACACGACAACCAGATGTTGACCTCGTAGCCTTGCATAATTTTTCCAACTGGATTTACCGGTGGTGAACAGCAGTCATGCTGACTTGGGGAGGGGTACCCTCAGGCAGATCCCAATGATCAGCATGGTTCATGGTGGCCTCACCAACTTCGCACTTGCCCAAGGCGACAGAGGAGGGCAAGGATGGCAAGGATGGCAAGGATGGCAAGGATGGCAAGGAGGGCAAGGAGGGCAAGGAGGGCAAGGAGGGCAAAGATGCCAAGGAGCGGTTAAGCCAAATACTTCGCGCCGAAATCCCAGAGGCAGACCTGGTAAAACCTTGGATCGTCATTCCCCCCTACCATTCAGATCGCCCACGCCAATGCCTATTTGGTTGCGTGTCACTTGTGCTTTGATGGGACTTGAGTTTGACCCCGTGAAATGCATTCCTTGGGAAGACTCGTATAGACTTTGGATCCCGTGCCAGTGTACATGAGGCCATTTTGCAGCACCAAACCCTAAAAGTCCAATACCCCCAAAGAAGAACGTTGCACAGTGAGTGTGCTCTTTTTTAGGGGGATTTCCTTTTGGTGTTCCTTTTGGTTTCCCTTTAATTTGGTTTCCCTTCAAAACCAACCAAAAAAGGATACCCTTGAAACAAAGTCCTTTTGGTTTCCCTTTGAAGCCGACCAAAACAAAGGCGTACCCTCCAAAGAAAGGACGCCCAATGTCTCCACACCTCGCGAGTCTCAGGACTCCGCGAAGATTGGAGCCAAGCTCTCGGAGAAGCAGCGGCCTGGCATCGAAAGGGGCTGAGAAGCGGGGGAGTGTTTGCGGGTCTCTCGGATTGAACCATGAAAACCAGGGCTCGTAGTTGATGAACATGTCTAGTTTTCATTCAACCTGTTTCTTTTTTAGATTATAATATTTGTGTGTGTGTTTTTGTTCCCGAAAACCATGCGACATGTGTCTACCCGAGCGAAATTCCACTGTTCCAAACCCATAAACCCGTGAGCTAGTGCAGCTTTTTGGACTAGAAAGAACGGGCGATATGTTTTTCTCCCCGCTCGAGTTGCCATGGGATTGAGGCAGGCAGCGCTGGAACGTCTCCGACAGCGCGCTCTGAAGCCGCCCGCAGCCTCAGGGCGTATCCAGGCGTCTATGGTGAGATGTTGCAGAGGCATGGGGCTCACGAAATGTCCCACAAACACTACTGGGATAGACTTAGCATACATTTTACATTTGACCAGTGAGTCAAAGTGAAGCAAAGAATAAAGCATACATTCTATGACTTGGCCTAACTTTACGCATCGCATATCGTTTTGCCTGTCCATTTGGGCAGTTAGTGGGATGTGTTGGCCCATCGGAGTTGGTGCGTAGGGCTTAAATCTTCTCACACTCGCCTCCCCTGTTAATTAAATGTGTACAGTGAGAAACAATCTCCCATGGGGATGGCGAAGCCTTGGTTACAAATTTCGGACCAAGATTATCAAGTGTGTAGGTGAAGCGAAGCAAGAGCCTCACAATTTGGGAGGCCCTCCTTTTGTCACATTCCCATTTCACCATGCATTCCAATGGAGAACACCATCTCATGGTGGACATGCATCCCCTACTTATCGTGTCCACCAAATGGGTCCCTTGTCCACAGCCCGAACCTGGGAAGCCTGATGGCTCGGCAGTGGTGGCATGACTCATGGGTACGCATTTGTTTGTCGGAACGGGAAGCAAGCAGAACGGAGAAGTTGGTATAAATTGTATGCATGATACGTGCGTGCATGCGAACACACATACAGTACATACATGCGTGCGCAATGACATGTATACAGATGCATTCAACAAACAGACACACACACACACACACACGCACTGCAGATACCTTACATTGCGGCAGACAAGCACAGTACATACACCATGCACTACGTTGTATTGCATTGCATTGCATCCCATTGCAGTCCATTACCTTGCATTGCATTGGATTAGATTGCACTACGTAACATGCATACATTACGATAGACAGACAGGCATAGACATATTGTGTTGCTAATTGTCAGTAGAAACAGCCTAGTCTATATGGGTATGGGTCAAAACAAAACCACCAGGGGACTGCAGCTTTTAGTCAGGGTTCCATTTTCGGTACGCATTTTTTGACCCACAGCCATATCGGGAAAATTATTGAAAGGGACCAAGGAACTCCCGGGCGCAAGTCTACGATCGCCCCACCGAACAGATTCCTATGGGTCCGACCAATCGGAGTTAGAGGTTGGCCGATCCCCCACTTTGGCGTCATGGAGAGAACTGGTGGGAGCAGATCAGACTTTGGAGCTTCCTTGTACTTAGCATCGCTCAGCTAACCCCAAATCTTTAGGATGATTTGCGGCTGTAGGCAAAGAGTCAACCCTTGGCAGGAAGCATCAGCTTGAAACTTATGTATTTGCCATTGCAACCAGCCAAAACCCCAAAAAAGCTTTTAGTTGTTGTCCTTCGGCGTTGCTTTGCCTGGTTCCTTGTTGTACTTGTGCGGCATTTGTTGGGTTGCATCCGCTCCGGAAGGCCCAAAGAGGCTGAGCCAGGCACGGGCAGGGGCAGAGGGGTGGGTGGAGAGTGCCAGGCGATGGCTTTCCTGCCACCATTTAATTCCTCAGATTTCAACAGGACTTAGGTTTTGCCCGCTGGTTCCAGCAACCGGTTGCCAGAAGTCTTGCCAGATCTTTTCAGGGATCTCTGGAGCGACGGCGACAGTTTTTCTAGACGTTTGGTGGTCAGATGAGACTCAAACTCAAGGCTTCAATTTTGAACACCTAACAATTTAACGAGGCTCGACAAAAACTGTCCTGAAATGACTAATGACACTCGCCAACATCAAGATGTTGGGAACATCAGGGCGTTAAGGGTCTGGAATGCGGCGTATACGCGATTCTATCCGCCGCCAGAAACTAGGCATGATGCAGGTGGCGGAAGCCAGATTCTTTGCAGTGTCTCATTTGAGATGAAATTCAAAGGTTGGAATCAGAGTGCTTGCAGTTCCAAGCCGAGCTCATCTTCAAGATGAACAGGCAACAGACGGCGAGGTTGGTACCATGTTGGAGGTGTTTCCCTGGGTACTGAGTTGCTTGTTCTTTCCCTGACCATTTTTTCCTGGCGTCTTAGCTTTACATTGCGGAAGACCGTAGTGGACAGATAGTTCAGATTTCTTTGGTCCCATTGGCCCAAGAATCGGACATCTATATCAAGGTATCGGGGGAGTTTGACAGTGGCAGTCCATTTTACTTGATGCTGCTGGTTTTGTTCTGAAGCGCCTTGTTAGGTACAAAGTCTAAGGATCGAATGCTTGAATGATCTGACAGATTGGATTATCAAGTGTATTTCTCTTGGTGTAAAACTTCCCATTGCCTCATAGATTCGGGCATGGCGATTTCAGCAAGTGAGAGGATATGTGACCTCACCCATGATGAAGCTTCCTGTGGTGGAATGCGTCCCCCGATTTTTGAAATAGCTTGGACTCGCTGCACGACTCCGCGCGGCGATGTCCGTCGCTGGGCTCAGCGTCTTACGTTTCCTGTCGCCTTGGCCGGATTTCGGCGGCATGTGCCTTGGTGGCACCATGAGCTCGCGGGCCACTGGCTGGGTGACCGAAGCCCATTGTGGTGGGTTGGCGTAAGCCTCACACCATCTACCCATAGTGAGAGAAGGCTGGGGGCTTGCCATGGCCATGGCGTAACCCTCGCACATACCCATAGTCCTGCGAGAATGATGGGCTTGCGCCCAGTTTCTATGATTCCAATATTTTCCAAGCAAACACAAATATCTCAAGTCTGAAGGGGCGACATAGTCATGTGGATGGCCCATGTTGCTATCATTGGAAAGGGTGATTTGCTACAACCAAGCAGGGACCGCAATGAGTTCCCCAAGCAGACCACAACCACCAGGCCGCCCGAAGTACAGTGTTTGCATAATCTTTATCATATTTCAGGCGTCAGGCGACACTGTACCAAAACAAAGTCAACATGGAGCATACCTGAAGTCAACTGCCAAAGGACGCCATGATTTCAGAAGCACTGGGAACTTCACTATCACATCAACATCACAACAATAGGCAACCTTTTTCTTTTTCAGTAAACGCATCACGCTCTCTCCTGTCTATTCTAAGCGTTGATGCCCGTTGTTTGTTTCCCTGATACTCTACGCAGTACTTGGAGGGCAGGAATGAAACCAGTCGAGGGATCCGCTGGACAACAAACCGGAACGTTCACTGCTCTAGCCCCCCCCACCAGTCTCACTAGGCATAGGTCTTCTTCTTGAGGCTACGATTTCTGGACTATTTTTTAAAGGAAACCCAAACGGGAAACGGCCCATTCTCATGAATTCACCGTTTTGGGGCAGCCCCATATGGGTATTGGTCAACATTAAACGACCAGGACATTGACCGGCTCTAGTCCTTGGTTCCATGTACCAGGGCGGGCAACCCATTTTGGGGTTACCCGATTTTTCACTCACAGCCATGATTCACCATCAACTGCATCATCGGACTTCTTCTTCTTCTTCTTGTTCTTCTGGGTCTTCTGCTTTTTTCGACATCTGGCTTTGGCTCAACAAAACTGTACCAAAATGGAACCTTGGTAAGTGGAAACATGGACCAAAACCCGCGGTTTGCCTCTCAGCTGGTTTAATTGTAAACGCTTCGCGTTGCCCGCCTCGGCCCAGCCTAGTTTGAGGGAAGGGTCAGGAACACCGAAATCCAGTGTTGGGAAGGTCCGAATACCTGAAGCTGGCTCCAGACAAGTCAGACAAGCCGGCCTCGCCTGGTTGGGCTGGGCCACAGGCTAGTCTCAGACACATCAGATAAGCCTGCGCTGGGCCTGAAGCTAGTCTCGGGCAGCTTGGCTGGACCTTGCTTGCGTGGGTTGTTGGTTGAGCTGAAGCTAGTTTACGGCGGGCTGGGCAGCCGCACTGAGGGGGCTGGGCTATGGCTGGGCTGGGCCTGAGGCCAGTTTCAGACACGTCAGACAGGCCTGCAGGCGGACTGGGCTGGGCTAGACGCTAGTTGAGCCCAGGCTGGTGAGGCCCAGTCTCGGCGCTAGATAGGCTGAGGCCTGCGAGTCTCAAACCGGGTGGGGGCCTGAAGCTAGTCTCAGCCACGAGGCTGCGAAGCCATGGGTGGTGCTGGGCAGCTGGATTATGGTGTTGGTTGCGCCTGGAACTTCGGCTGGCTGGGCTGAGCTGTGCTTGGGCGGGTCGCTGGATGGGCTGAGGCTGGGTAGCGAGTTGCTGGCTAGGCTGGGCCTGAGGCCAGTCGCAGACACGTAAGACACGCCAGCAGGCGGGCTGAGGGACTGAACCTGAGGCTAGTCTCACCTTGAGACCAGTCTCAGACTGCGCCGAAGGGGCCTGGTCAGCCTGGGCTGCTGAGTAGCTGGCATAGCTTGAGACCAGTCTCAGACTCTCAGCAAACCTGACCTTGGCACACTGGGCTGAGCCTGCTGGTCGGCTGGGAGCTGGGGGCCGGTAGTGGCTGGCATGCCCTGAGATGCGCTGGGGCCCAGGCTTTGGGCTGGGCCTGAAGCTAGTCTCAGCCACGAGGCTGCGAAGCCGCTGGGCTGAGCTGTGCTTGGGCGGGTTGCTGGATGGGCAAGGCCTGTTTCATACACACTTGGGCCTGAGGCTGGGTGGCGAGTTGGCTGGGCTGGGCCTGAGGCCAGTCGCAGACACGTAAGACACGCCAGCAGGCGGGCTGAAGGACTGGGCCTGAGGCTAGTCTCAGGCTGGCATACTTTGGGCCAGACGCGAGCAGGAGGTCAAGGCCTGGCCAGCCTGGGCTGAGTTGCTTGGGCAGCCGGACTGAGGGGCTGGGGCGCGTCAGACGGGCTTGGTGGCTGGCATAGCTTGAGACCAGTTTCAGACACGTGAGACTGGTCGTTGGCCTGAGGCCAGTCTCAGACACGTTAGACCAGGAGGTCATGCTTTTCAGGACAAAAAAGCAATTTTTTAGTGATTTTCGCAATTGTCAGCACATTTTCGACAAAAATGGACCCATGGAGCTGGACGCCGACGAACCCCGAAAATTTCAAGGCCCGCCGGACAGGATTTTGGGTCCAGCCGACATGGGTTGGGGGGGGCGGCCCGGCAAAA